TAAATGGGAACAGCCTGCACTTTTATTGTGCCTTTTCATTTTCAATTTTAGAAATGATCCCAGGTTAATGGTGCTTGCATAGTCAGAAAAATTTGACATTTTTTAAAGGAACAGTGAGATTTGCTATTCTGCACATTTCATCCAGTATGCTAAGTTTTGTTTAGTTTCTCTTTAGCTGGCTTCTGAGATGGAGACATAAACCTACTGCCCAACCAGGAAAAACAAGCTCCTTCATTGATTTTATATAGGATTGGAAGAGTACACATGGGTGATCTGGATTGCATGATATCTTTTCTCTGGCAACTATTGTGTTAAGTTAGTTTCAAAGCTGTCAAATTAAAAAACACAAAGTAAGAGTGACATGTTATGTCCAGTGGGTGTTTGTGTCCTAGGAAGAGGTATCATGCTAGCCTTGGGAAAAGCCTAAAAGATAACTTCCATTATTATTCAACTGAAAACCAGAAAAAGAATGACTGAATCATTACGCTAATTTTCTTTGAATGGGATGAAATAACTCCTGATGGGTTTTTCTCTCTTCCTGTGCTCCTCTTCCTGCCCTCTTTGTCCCAGTGTCTCCCTGACTTCTCCACTGAACCGCCCCTCCGTCCTTTCCCCAAACCTTTCTTCTCAAGTCCCAATTGTTTGTGTTCCTAACTGTTTCTGGCTTCCTTTTTTTATATCTCAGAACTGCAAATTCTGAGTTTGACTGCCAAAGGCAAGGTGGAAGTAGGTGTCAGTGGGTAGACACAGCGTTTAAAGGTATGAACTTAACCTCAAGTTACCCATCTCTGTCTTTTCATCACTGCCCCCAACCAGTTCCTTGGCAATGTGGATCTCTTTTGCCTTTGATACGAGAGCTCTTTGCTCATCCCTTGCCGTCCATCTGGACCAGCGCTGATACAGCCAGGCATTGTCTCCTTCTCTAGGTTATCAAGGAGAGCCCTTGAGTAATGCTGCAAGAAGGCAGCGGCGGGAAGGCTGGCTTGGCTGGAGGGCCTCGCGTTTTCAAGCCCCTGAGCCCTGCGTGTGCTGGCTGTGCTCGGAGGAGCAGCACTCTGCAGGAATTGCTGTGTGAGAGCCTGCACCTGCACTCTGCCAGCTGCCGAGGAAATGCTGATGGGCAGCAGTGCCTGCTCCGAGTGCAGCTGCGTGGCTACATTAACAGCTGATGATAAAGGCCGTCGGTTTAGGTAGAATGTCTCCCAGCCCTCAGAAAGGCTGAAGCATCTTAAAAGAGCAGGAGAGGGCACAAGCCTTGCTCAAAGACCTCCGAAGGCCGTTGTGGTTCCGTGCCATGGCATGGAGACACAGGGATTCCCCCTGCTACCCGGGGACAGGAGGCTCACACCACTCAATGTATTTTGTAAAATCAGAAGTTGAAAGGTCATTACAGATCACCGCTACTGAAGTTTTGAAGCCCCGTTCATTCTTCCCCCGCCTTGTCTGTGGCAGGTGCTGGTGTATGCATTGGAAGTGCTTCTATCAGCGTATATTGACCCAGTTCTCAAGCATTATTAAAATTCGGGAAGTTCTTCTGGTGGTTTTATGTTCATGCTGAACATGAACAGCAAGCAGTAGAAACCTGTGAAACCACACTGGAGCTTTAGGAAGACAGAATGAAAAAAAATCCTTAATATTACAGTTCCTTTTTTAACTTTTTTTTTTTTTAGTTGACCTGTATCCCTCCCTGCTAGGGGCCAAGCAACTCAAAAGCACCTCCTTAAAAAGTGAGCACTAAAGGAGGATAAATACAATAATATGACCAAAGCAGAACTTGGTATTTACACAGGACTGAGAAGAAATGTCAAGGATTCTGCACCTAACAATTTGTATGATTACATTCAATAAACATGAATCACAAAGCTACTTGATTTTTGCATCTAAATATTTCTAACCCTTTTTTGGGGAGTATTGTAGCCTTCTAAATAATGGGATTTGGGGCTGTAATTCCATCTCCTCTTGAAAACAATGGTAAACTTCCCATTGGCTTGAACGCAATCAGGGATTCTACCTCATAATTTCAAACAGCACAATATATTGCTGTTTCTTTCAGTGTACTGCCTTAATTAGTGGCTTGCCCCAGATTTATCAGTGAAGTGACAATTCCAACAATTCACCTGGACAATTACTTGGAGGTAGCCCAGGAAGGCCAGAATTTTGATCCCAGTTGGCCATCCATTTGTGCTGGGAGGCATCGAGTCTCATGGCCCTTCAAATCTGAATCACAGTAGGTGTGAATGCAGGTGCTGTTCCCATCCATGTATGCACTTTCTACTAAAAACCCCACAAATTAAATTTCCTATTTCTTCAGTCAATAAGAACTGTAATTCAGCTACACATTTTAAAATATGTACCTTGTAATATTTTTGTTTTCAATGAATTTACAGTTAATTGCAAGGATTTTTTGAAGGCTTCTAAACCCTTATTTAGCCTGTACAGCACTGAATAGTGGTGTGATTTCTGTATATGCTAGAGTTCATATATGCTAATCAGTCTGCTTAGAAAACATTGCATAGCACTGGGCTCCAATTTGCAGCAAGAGTAGCCAGTAAATGTTGGCCATTAGCTGAATTCAGTCGCCTTTCGTCTACATGTTGCCTGACAAAGAAGTGGAATCTCTGCATCTTGCATTCCCAGTGCAATGAGTCTGAACCAGGCTTTTCTGTATTAAGGATGAATTCAAGCCAAAAACAGTCTCTGTAACTGCTGTTATCTTTTATGCATGTAGTTACAGACGACAAGTCAAAGATCTTAGTTGCTTTATACTATACCCCCCCACACACCTAGTTGCAGGCATTTTGCAGTCCTTCCTTTAATGAGCTTTTTATTTATTCGTTCAAAACATTGTTTATTTTTCTCCGCTCTCGTGCAACACCTTGCACTTACCTGCAACCATTCCTCTGCTAAGTGTTGCCTAATTGTGTACTTTTGCTTGGTCTTTCAGGAAATTCCTAATGATCCTCCCAAGCCTTGGTTAAGCTAAATGTTTCTGTGTTGTCAGCAACTTTCACCACCTGTTTATTCAGCCTGTTTTACAGAAAATTCATAACACCTGGCACCTACCACTTGTTTGGGTACAAAGCGAATGAACCACTACGTTTCTCTTGAGAGTGCTCAGAACTGGCAGCAGGCAGAGGCAACGACTCTGCTCCTGATGAACAGGGCCATTAGTCAGCCCTTAGACTCAGGTGCATAGGGAAGGGTTCTCCTTGGGGCCCGAACAAACCTGACACTGAAAATCTGGGCTGTTTTGGGTTTTTTTTTTTCAGTGGTGTGTGTAGAACAGCAAATGCTCAAATAAAACAAACAGTTTTTTTTTTCAGTGGTGTGTGTGCAGAACAGCAAATGCTCAAATAAAACAAACAAGCATGATTTGGAAACGGCCAGTGCCTTTTCCTCAAATCAATCCCACCTTATAATAAAAGTTGTACTGAACTTTGTGGAACTGAAGAATGAAGCTTGCGAGTTGCAAAAGCAAGGTGCTGAAGGGACCAAGAAGGCAGCACACTAAGATGCAAGCTGTTGCTGTGTAGTATCTTTTGACAGAGGGTATTTTATTCAGGAGCCCTGCTGGGTATTATTTACCTCAGTGTGTGAGTGTCAAGTCCACTGAGAAGATGGAAGAGCAAGTCGTTAGACACAGAGCAATGGGAATGCTGTGTTGACTGATCAGAAACCTTGTCTGGAAAGTGAAGCTAATTTCAAGTGAATGCAGCAAGGAAATATGTAGGAAAAAGATGGATAAATTAGGATAATTTTTTCATTTTTGTTGGAGTAAGAGAAGCAGTCAGGGAAACATGAGTTGCCAGCAAGAACATCTGAAAGGCTTTGTAAAGGCATTTGTGAATACTGTGACATGTGTCTTTAACCTAGATATATTGAACTGAAAGAGTTGCAGATACTAGCACGAACATAGAATGCTAGATAAATGGAAGATTTTTGAGTTGCTCTTTTATGGGACACGTGGTTTTTATCTCACAAGAGAGAGTTTCGAGAAACAGATCCAAGCCTTGAGAAGCAGTGGTGGTGGAAGAGCTAGCAATAGCTGAAGAATGACTGGGATGCCAACTGCAGCTGGAGTGCTGCTGGCTATGTTGGACACATTAACTGTATAAACACGGATCCTTCACCTTTTTTAGTAGGATAAATAAACAGTAGTTTGTATCAAATCTCCATATTCAGTCTCAAAAGTGATTTAAATTGTTGACTAAAAGGTCACTTCAGTGTCCTGGTGCATTTTGTGAAAGTCTCAGAAAGCAGAGGAGAAGGGTGGGACAGTTTCTAAAGATGAGCAAAGGTTGGACTTAATTATAGTCAGTTCAGCCTCTGAATCCATGAGTATGCTTTGTGCTTGGACGTGTTTTTTTTTTTTCAAATGCACTATTTATTGTTACATGAGGATCTAAAAGCTTCATTTCACTAAGTGACTCAGGGAGAACTATAAATCAAGATTTATTTTGGCTAGAAATTAATCTCTTCCTATGTAAGCCGAAAGTAAAGATTCATAAAGTGAATAATATTTTGTTTCTTCAGTAACGTCAATAACAGCATGTCTTTGGGAATTTCAGCCTTTCCAAATTCAATTTCAGCAGTCTTATGTATTTACTTACCTGTTTTAATTAAGACTTGGCAGGAATAAAAGAAAAAAATTACTTGTTTCTGAGCTGATACGATCTTAATTGAGAATGCCTGGCTCTCACATTGTCATTGATCACTTATTTTTGTGAATTATATCAAGGCACACATAAGGAATATGTAATATTCCCCTGTGGCAATATCTAGCAGAAGGAGCTGAGAGAGCCCAGGTGTTTTAACACAGTGGTTTGAAAACGCTCCAAAAATACTATGTGGTTTTGGAATCCTTCGAGGAGGCAGGGGACACCTTTCCAAACACCTGGACTCCTTGATCCACCTGTAGGATAAGCTCTCCTGCCTAAGACGTTGCAGCATATTAATTGTCTTTGCCATGCTTGAACAATGCCCACTTCTTCGTGGTGTAGCTTCAGAACAAAGGCGCAATGTTTCTGGACCCCATGCTCCAGAAAACGTATTCTTCTCTGCCTTGTTTCCTTCAGATTTGCAGAAGGACTTTGAAGGGCAGGGGTGTGGAGGAAATGGGAAGTAAGGGGCTTTAACATGCTTTAGAGCTTTTATGTCCTTATGTATGCTCCCTCCAATGCCACACACAGAGGGAAAAGAACGGATACTTACCTAAGTAATGGTTTAATTTTTAACTCAAATGTAGTTTCTAAGTAGAGCCTTTCAAACTGTGCAGCAGTAATAGATCGGACATAAGCTGTGAGACGTTAAAATATATAATGACAGAGGTGGGGATTTAGCTATGTTTTTGCTGCTTTCCCACTCATCAATACCTAATGAGCAGGGATAAATTGTGCCAGGATATTGAGCAATGCAGAGACAAGTGGCATAAGAGACCGATGGATACAGCTGTGCGGGAGGGAAAAAATAGGCACCAGGAAAGAGTCGGAAGAAAATGCAGTTGTGTCAGTGAAATAGTCTCATTTCATAATAAATGCATGAGCTGTTTCTTTCAACTTTTATGTACACTATAAGCAAACTAATACATTTTAAGGATATTTAAGGAAAAAAAAATCATCCAATGTACTGAAAAAGTTGAACCCGATGAGATGTAAGATAAGGTGGTCAGCAGACCTTTCATCAGATCTTTATGGGAAGAGAAAAAGAAGCCTCCAAACTATGTCTGATGGAACTTAGGAAGGATCTATCATGTGCATTAAGTGGTTATTTGTTACCACTATTAAAAATTTGCCTGCTGTTGCCAGGCCTAACTTCAGCTTTTTGAAGTGCCTAACTTCCATTTTTGAATTATGTTGCTCTTTTATATCCCAGATCAAAGAGCCTTGGACCTATTTAGAAATTTTTAGATTGTATTAGACTCAGTTAAGGTGCCTGCCCATGTCATGACTTTGGGTGATATATCCACATGGTCTTTTTGAGGCTGAGAAATATAATCTGTCCCAATCGTTTTTGGAGAGCTACGTGTAAACTAATTGACCTAGGCGGTGCTTCTGACTGGTGGCATCCTTACCCCGTACCGAGGTGAGACAGAGGCACACATCTATGCTGACCATTGCCTTTGTTTTTGCAGGGAGGAAATCTGGATGCTCTGGAAGGCTAAGTTCTACTAAGTTCTGGGTAATTAGGGAAATCTACAGTATGCTCCCACCAAATTATTTGAATTGGAAAGGGTCATCATGCCCAGCCCATTAGGAATATGGGTGTTTTTTTAATTATTCCACAGGAAACAGGGTAGGATAAAATACGGTTAATATATGTTGCATGAAATATTATTGAGATCCTTGATTTTATGAAATTTTAAGTTGGTGCTCAAGGGGGAAAAAATCATATTTCAGTGTTATGAGAGTTGGAGATTTCTAGAGCTAGCGAGGTGGTTCTAGAGGGAGATATATATTCTAGAAGTTTGTACAAGGCATCTCATCCACCCTTCTGCATTAAAACCTCAGTCTCATCTCGGGGAAAGACTATAAACAAGACCTTCCACATACAGCTTTTAGGTATTTTTGTTCCCAAGACATGAGGACACAGATAGCATGGATCTCCTCCCCACACTCTACCCCATTCACCTAGCAACAGATCCTTTTGCAAGGAAGGAACTCAAGCATGCTTCATGCAATTTTTATTCCTTGAAAGAAGCGAGGCCTTTCATTACTCAGCATGATATCTCCTTTATGAGAAGCAGTCCTTCAGGATAGCTAATGCTGGGCACGCTGTGGTTCAGTCCGTCTAACCTCATCTACACTATTGCTTAAACTCAGTGACTGAGAAAGCCTTTGTGGAGTGTGTTGAGTAACTTGTGGTCTTCTCACTTGCTGAAATGTCTCTGAGGCATAGCTTCGACAGTTAGCATCTCTAAACCGCTGGTGGCTGGGAGCTGGTGGGAAAGGCTGTGGGAAGCAGCAATAACTGATGGGCCAGATGAGCCCTCCTCCTGCTCGGTTTGGGCAGCAACCCGCCGTGCTGAAAGCAGCTCCTCTGTGTCGCTGGGTCTCGCACGCATTTACTGCAGCTGACTGTAAGACGAGACTCACCAGACCTGGTCCTGGGGCGTTGGAGTGCCCTTTGGCAGGCCATGAAGAAATAAGGAAACCGGCAATTGGTGCTGCCAGGGAGGATGAGATTAGGGGCTTGAACTCGGTCTCTTCTGCTCCCGTCCGGTGCTCCATGGCACTGCGTGATTCACCTAGCCAACATCAGCCATTTGAGAGTTGGTTGGGTCCTCCAAGCTCTTCACCCAAACACCTTCACTACTGACAGGAGAGCGACTGGCACATCTAAAATGCGATTTTCTCCACCTCAGGCACCTGTTTTAAGGAGGGCAGCATAAATGACCAGCTGGAGCTAGGCAGCTAACATCAAGGCAGCTGTAGTTAACTGAGATCACCTCCCTTCTTTCTGTTCCTTTGCTGCCATGCATAATTCATTCCTTTATAGGGAAGACAAGTGTTTGTTGGAATTAGTGATACAACAGTTTAAAGGCTCCCAGGAAGATATATATTGAAGCATTTCAACCTGCTGCAAAAACAATTTGTTTCTGTTTGTAGTAAAAGAACATTATATTCTTTTTTTTTTTTTTTTCCACATGAGATAGGGAGAGAGTAATTTAACAAATAATACCCCTACCACTTCTAGACAAACTCGGTATGTATGTTATGGTAGCTGGCCTCAGTCCAACAAAGCCATTAGCCATGTGTAACTCTAACAAAAAGAAATCTGCTTAGCTCCCCCTCCTTATGCTTTTTAAGGCACTGATACTGTGTGTTGATCCATTTAGCCCATTGGGCTGGAATATTTGAGGACCCTCAAGGGAGAGGCCACAAGCTGGTTCAAGGTTATGTTTACCAGCCCCCCCACCCCAACAGAAAACCAGCCAGGCAAACTTTTTCCCATCCCCAGAACCAAAGAGTTTTCCTATTCTACAGTTTCCGTGTGTTTACATGGCTGCCCTCATCCAGTCCTTTATCCTTCGGGCCTGGGTGAAATTTGTAGGTACTCAGACGTGTCAGCCAGGATTCAAGCCCAAACTAAACACAGCCGTCATTCACAAGAAGAGAGAGAGTAGGTTTCTCTGGTGGTGACACTGTTGGGTCCTCCAGAGCGCGAGCATTATTCATCACAGGCACAGAAGGGCAGGCTTAACATTTGTAATGTTAAGATTTTTTTTCTTTTTTTAGTTTCTGTTTTACTTGGGGGGTGGGAGGAACTTGGATCATTGAAAGAAATGGTAAAGGGCATGAAATCAGTTGTGCTATTTATGGAGTAAATGCTTTAGATAAGGACCCATCAGAATTTTTCTATAGATTTCCCAGATTTAAATGTCTGTAACAGGAACACATCAGTGGGTTCTGGGATTTTTTTTCCTGGAATTACACAGTGCGTTTTATACTTCTCTGTGTTTCTGGTGAACACTTTTAGCTCCCCATGGGACTTCTGAAATAAGCCAGTGGAGAACCTTTTCTTTTCTCTGTAGTGTTGGTTGGCATAAATGTGCCAGGGTACATGATCTGGGAGTTAAGACCTGCATTGAAGCTCCGAAATTTTATGTTTTATGGTTGTGTCTCAAGGCCAAGCATGAACAACTGATAATTTTCCCCTTTTCAGTTCCTCTGCATGTGTATTGTTGTTTAAGCTACAGACACAATAAAATTTTTGGGCCCCCAAACTGCCTTCCAGTTGTGCCAAATAGTAGCTATTCATCAATGGGTACTTTTCTATATAGGACTTTGGAGAAGTGCTTGTAGGTAAACTGAAGAGGAAAGGCAAAAATTTGAAGAGTTAGTTTGTGGTTGATCTGTTTGTCTACCTGTTATCTATGAATATGCCTAGTCATACCTTTTGTATCAATATATTGTGTGTTTGCTTCGTGCAGTGGGATTTTCCTTACTGCCTCAGGAAGAAGCTCTGACCTCTGTGAAAGACTGCTGGGGTGATGGCCATGGCTCCAGCATCAAAGCTGCATTCAGGAACACACTTCTAGCACATGTACTCAGTATCAACATCTATATATGTTAGGTACAGCTGTCAGTTCTGTAACTTCCAGAAATGTAATTTCCAGGCTAGCGCAACACTGTAAGTTGTCTAATGCCAAGAGCAAAGGCCAAGTCTTCATTGCCCGAAATGTAAGTTTTGTCTGTTCTACAGAGATTTGCACAGTGCTGTGTGTGTCTGTACTTGCTGGCAAGGTGCCTATGAGCAGCATCAGTGTAACGCAGACGTGCCTCACCTTTCTCACTCCCTATTTCATGTAGATGCTCCAAGCTCACAGCAGTGCCATCTGCCCCTTCCACGAGTGGAAGACCCTTTACAGAAATGTTCCTTCCTATGTAAAGGTCGCAGTGTGCCACCACCATGAACACTGCCTTCATCTATGAAGAGTTCAGCTGAAGCCGTCTTTAAGCCAGACAGAAAAATGAATCGCTCACAGTGGAAAGAGCTCTTCAGCATGATCCAGATTGTCTCAGTGTAGCCCCTCAGAACTATTCGTGCAGTGAGATACTCTTCACTGTGAATAGGAGTGACAAAATCTGGCCCAGAGTTAGTTCCCCAAAAATGTAAATATAGAAACTGCCACAGAAATACGCGCGGGGGCACAGAAGTCTTTGTTCCACCCGTGATCTTTCCCAGCGAGGTCTCTCTCTCAGAGAGTGACTGTGGCAATTCAAAGCTTCACTAGCATTGCAGGTTGACAAGGGGAAACATTGCTGATCCAGCTCAGAGAAGCAGGCAATTTGTTTCTATAAAATTACACTTAGTAAAGCTTTTGGGAGTTTGTGTCAGGCATATCCGAATCACTCATATCTCAAATGCTTTCAGTCATGAGAGGAAGAGGGGGTCATATGAGGATGAGAAGCTATCTAGACATAGAGTAACCTCTGATGAAGTGCATAAGCCATAGAAAGGGAACTTGTCTGTCAGAAGCTCTGTGCAGTAATCTGGAAGGACTGCCAGTTTTATTGTATTTCACAGAGATTTGCAAAACACTGAAACCCAGAAAACACGAGTTTGCATTGCTACATAGATGCTGAATACCTAGTCCCTGGTGTGG